CCACCCGGGGACCGCCTGTATCCCTGCCGCAGCACCCTGAAGCACCGGGTCCCTTCGGGCGGGGGCTGTTGGAAACTGGGGAGACCCCGCTGTTAAATGGGGGCTATTCCTGGTGCATCCAGAGAAACCTCTAGCTTGGAGGGAGCGCCCCTGGCCAGAATGCCGGGGAGCCTGCGGAGCCGGGGGACAGGGGCTGTGCGGGATGGGCAAGCAGGAAAAAAACTCACCGTGGCTCTTGTGCCCCCTTGGCCGCTGCCCAAAGGTGCGGACAAGCCCCGAAATGCCGTATGGCTTCTGCACAGCCTGGAATGGAGATGGGCGGTCTGTAGGCAGGACCAGCTCCAGCCATCCCGGATGCCACACTGGCCCCTCTGCCGCGACCTTGAAGAGCCGACAGGCCCCGGCCGTGAGGCAGATCCGTGCTCGAAATAAAAAGTTTTGGGTTTCTGTTTATTTAGAAATGGAATTCAACGGTGAAGCCAGGGTAAAGGAAGCCCTCTCCCCCCCAGGACAACATCAGGCTCCAGCTTAGTTTGCGTCTTTTCAAGCAAGAAAAAATAATTTCTATAAGAGAAAAATGTTCTATGGGCTTCTCTAAGTGAAAAACCATCCCAGGAGTGTGCAGCCGCGCTATCCCGATGGTTCAGTCTTTGGGGAGACTGATGGTGTCTCCGAGGACGCCACTGAAGGGTTTTGCTCACCTGCACTCCCGATGCAGCGGCTGCACCACCCCCGGCCCCATCTTGGCCGTCTGTCTGTCCCGGCTGAGCCGCGGCACCGTGCTGGGACTGGGATGAGACCTGCCAAACTCATGGCACGCATTACTGACCAGCTCCTGGGGAAAACCTTACGGGAACGGGGACATCTCCGATGTCTGAGCGGACTCGTGAGACGGAGGTAAGCAAGGATGCCCTGGGCCACCCCGAGCCCCCGGCAGCCTCGGGCTGCAGCTCCGCCGAGCGGCTCCCTCTGCCCATGCGCCGCAGGCTGTGCCATGCTGTGAGCTGCCGAGCACCCGGCACAGCCGGGGCTGCAAACAGCCGGCACGGTTCCAGGCAGCTCCACCACACGCAGGGAGCCCACGGCAGTGAGATTTCAACCGCGCTCAGCCCTGGGGACAGGGATGGGGACAGAACGGGTGGCATTGCCGTGATGGACCACGTGCAGCAGCCACCACCGTGCTCTGGCGATCGCCGGAGCCGCAGCCGCCCCCCGCCCCCGCCGGGCGGGATGAGGCTGCGGA